CCGTACCCTGGAGCAGGAGAGTCTGAGGCTTCCAAACATCAGGAACCAGGAGAACAGAAGTCAGTGTTCACAAGGCAGATTTTACTCCCTTTCTATGGGAAAGCAAAGAGAAACCCAAATATAGACGGATGCTGCTTTCTAACTTTTCTCATGCAGATGAACCATAGGTTCATCCTGAGAGTAAACTATGAAAACAGCATTGGATGAAAAAATGACTTGTATGTGTCTGAAAGTCAAGTGCACGGACACTTGCAGCACACAGGTCCCTCAAGTTGCTGCTTCTCACTCCATCCCGGGAGGTGCTTTTCCATCATCAGTGGAAATGACAGTTCAAAACCTCAGCACCTTGTGTCCCTGGGACCGAGTCTGGGCACTTCCTTCTCATTCTGTATTTCTGACACTTTCCATTCTAGACACGCATACTGCAGGCTCCGGGAAGGTCCTGATACAAGTTCCTGGGTGACACTGAGATCTCTGATGTCTGCACCCTTTCACTAATCTCCCCACAGGTGTCGGCCTGGGCTGGCCACGGTGCTGAGCCTTCCGAGGCTATTTGCTCAGGATCAGCAGTTGTGTCCAGGAGGGCCACCCAGGGGCAGGCCTCGGGCTCACCACTCCACCTGAGAAGGGACTGGGAAGCCAGTTCAGAGGATGGATGCGTGTTCCCAGTGGCCAACTGTGAAGAGTGGGCCCGGGGTCCTCTGTGCTCTCCCATCCCATGAGGGGATGACACAAGCAGGAGTGATGCCGTGTGTCCCCAGCACTGGCCTCTAACTGTGGAGGACTGGGGCAAGGTCTTGACAACACCAGGTTAATGCTCAGTAGCCACTGGGCAGGGGAACTTCAGTAAAGGTGAAGGAGTGTAGAGTGCACCTCTGAGGACCCCAGTGGTGGATGTGCATGGACATCAAGTCCTGAGGGATGTTGAAACCAGGTGTCTTGTTGTCCTGTGAACAGCTCGCCCCAATGCCCAGAACTACTGGGAACAGCCATCACCCCCCTCTGGCTCCTGAGGGAGATGGCCTGAGGAGGCTGAGGAACCAGGGGCAGTGTATCTGCAGCTCTATTTTTGCTAGGTGTCACTTTTAAAGCCTGTAAGCCCATCATGGACACTTGGTGTCACTGCCAGAAACACAAGGGCCCCAGACATGGACCACGTGCTTGGCCACAGGGAAGCCAGTGTCCTCCATCTCCCACCTCTGGATGCACTTGGGATCTAGGAGAGCCGGACAGCCGTGTGACAGGAAGAGACAAGGTGGCTGGCACAGTGGCAGGGCCAGGCGCAGAGCTGGCGAGGCTCAGGGGACCACAGACACCAGCTCAAGTCACAGAAACTCGCTGAGCCTGCTTCTTTTTTCAGAAAGGGATAGTCCGTATCTTCCAGCTGCTCTAATGATTAAATGAAATACTAGACAAAGAGCGCCTGGAACAGAGGAACTTCCTCCGCAGGAGCCAGTGTTGTGTGCCGAGGGAGGGTGAGCAGAGGGAAGGTGAGAATGGATGGCCAAAAGCAACTAGAGAGGCTGTCAGAGGCCAGCAGGAGGGACAGAGGCTGAGCAGGGTGTGAAGGGTGCAGCCCAACCTGTGGGTATACCAAACCCATGACAGCGTGTACTCCAAAATGGTGAACTCCAACTCAGTTAAAACAAGAAGCCTCCTGGGTACATAAGAACAGGAGAGCCGGAAGCCTGAGGAAACTGGGTAACGAGGAGGCAGACAGGCCAGGAGAGGCTGGCAGGATCAGGTGCGACCTGTGCGTGGATAACACGGACAGACTTAAGTCCGGTAACCTGGACCAACCCATCCCTGACACTGGCTCACTGGGGTGAGGGGGTGAGATAGTGGCGAAAGCCCTGATCTTTACGCATCCCAAGCAGGACTCTGCTGTCTTGGAGAGGAGATCGCCTGGGCAGGAAGGTGCCAAGAGGCCCCCGGTGTGGCACCTTCATGGGGTCCCTGGACAGGAAGGCTGGGGCTGATGGGCTGGGAGCCGCTCCTCCTTGGGGACTGTGCGGGGAGGGCCATGCTACACAGGAACAGCAGCTGGTGCTCTGCTCCTGTTCACTGCAGTTTATTGCAAGCAGTCACTGCCATCCACCTTTGAAAAAAACATGAGGCGCAGCTGCGCTTCAGTTTAAATATTGTTCCTTCCAGCCTTTTAGTTTCTTCACGGGGTCCTCCCTCGTCTTTCACTGTAATTGGATGTACGACACTGGAGACAGCACCCCTGAGGGGCAGAGCCAGGCGGCTGGCTTGCCAGGCCCGGCTGCATGCCTCCCCTGCTCTCGGCACAGAGATCTGGGCCGGGCAGAGGCCAGCCTTCCGCCACATGCTGAACTACATGTCCCCGACTTCCTCTTTCTCTCTCCACTCGTGAAACGGGCATGTCCCCCACTCTGAACAGCCTGTTGCGGTGCGTGCTGACCCTGCACTGCTAGCTCCTGGAGGAAAGGCCCAGCCTCCTGCTCCTGGCCCTGCAGGATGCCAGGCCCCAGGGAGGTTCTCACAAACCACAGACAGTGGCCTGAACCAAAAGGGAGGGTGCCTTGGGGCCAGTTATGGCTCTCCACCAGGGAACAGGAAGGCGAGGGGCTTAACATGCACTTCAAATGTGCCAAGGCCTGTGTCGTCCCTCGTAAGTAAGCACTAGGACCCGTCTTCTGCTGCAGGAACCAGAGGTCCCTCATGAAACCTCTTCCTCACACGCAGGACCTTCCCCGAGGAAAAGGAACGGAGGCTCATCTCTTCCTTCCTCCACTTGGTGGAATCTAATTTTAGTCATCGGAAAGTGACCTTCCCCTGAAGGCTGTTTGTCTGACTTTAAAACAAACCTGCAAAATAATCCCCACAGGCATGGTATTTATTAGTGAAATGGTTCGGGGAATTCTGAGATGCCTGGCAGGGAGTGGCCTCAAGGTGGGGTGACAGCACCACGGGGCACAAAGAGGAAAGCAATGGAACTAATGCGGTTAATACAAACATCTATTTGTACCCACACTTTATACATACACGATATATTTCTATGGTGGAGAAATAACTTAATAGTAACTTCTGAATAACACATGTGTGAGAGAGGTGTGCACTCATACGTTCTACTGACTGGGTGCGCGGTCACAAGGCCTGCAGACCCTGGCTTTATGGAATCTAATTTTATTTTCTACGTAGACAAAGAGCAAAAACACCAAAGGAAAAACTTAGGAAAGGAAGATTCCAGTTGGGGAAGGTAATTTGCATGTCAGGTAACTCTTTCCTAATCTTAACATTTTTTTTTTTCCTAAAAAGCCCAAGTTGCCCTGTTCACTAGAAGCTCTTGATGAAATCACCCCCATCGTGTTTCCTCCCAAGCACAAAGAAGCCTTCTTGTAACCACAACTGCAGGAACCCTGAAGCACTTGCCTGCGGAAAGCAGCAGAAGGCGGAAATGACCGAGTGGCCCTGGAGTCCAGGGTGGGGCTCTGCAGCCTGAGGACCCAACACACGCTCACAAGCTTCCCCTGGTGACCCTGCCCACCAGGCACCCTTGTGGAGGAGCCCGTGGGCCTTCCGCTGCCCCGCGAAGTGGGCTGCCCAGTGTAACTGCACTTCACTCAGGTTTGTGCGCCTGCTTGTGGCTTGGGCTGCCGTCTGGCACAGCCCTCTCACCACAGTCATCTGTGTTCTCCCCAGTCTAAGTGGGATGCCACTGCAGTGCTAGGGTCCATCCTGGAGGGTCAGCATGGACCATCTTTCATTCCTCCTCAGGGAGAATCGCCCTGCACTTTCCTAGGAACAGGCTCACAAAGGCAACTTGGCCAGTTCTCTGGGACTGAGAACAGAAAGAGCAGAGAACTCCCACCTGCTCCGAGGGTAAGTGATCTGACCCGCTGAGAGTCCAAGTGTCCTCTGCACACCACGTCCGGGGCAGGGGACAGCTGAGCAGGGCTGGGGCGCCAGAACTCTACAGACAGAGCACCCCACACCCCCTCCTTTCCTGAGGATCCCAGGCGATAGCAAATGCATAGAGCAGCATGTCAGGCCACCCACACGTCCCCTATATGTGTCCCCTCAAGGAAGGAACATGCAGCGGTCACGCTCTGAGATAAAGCACATACGTTTAGGAGCCCAACACGCAGAATCTCCAATGCAAGGTAGCAGCTGCCGGGCTTGATGGCACTACACACAGGGGCCTAGGTGACAGAAGCACTCTAAGAGAACAGCTAATGATATTTTTGGTCAAATTAAAAATTCAGCAGCACGTTTTATGTGCTATCAGGCTACATATGAACACTTGCCTAAGAGAAGAAATCATCATTTCTTGGTCCCCGAGGGCAGGGCCCCTATTCTTCACCCCATGCTACACTCGACTCTATCAAATCCTAGGAGGGAAGGACTCGGTGTGTGTTTGGCCTTCTGCGGACAGAAAGTATATACTTGTAGTTCAATTTCATGACCTCAGCCATGTAACTAAAGCTATTTTTAGTTGAGCCTGTTATTACTAGACAATTACCATCCACAACATTCCCAAAATACGTTTACCAACTTTCAAAAGACAAGCAAAGAATGAACAGATAGTGTATCAATTTTTACAAAACCCCAAACTTTTCTTTATAAAACTATGTTTTTCATTCTTAAAAATATCAAACTTTGATAGGTTAACCATTCCAGTAAGTATTTATTTTAAGTGAACTGTCAATATACGTCATTATTTTTTTTTTAAAAAATCTTGCTTTACACAAAAGACCCGCTTAGCTCTGAAATGCACAATAGGATCTTTTCAAGTCCACAATAAGGGCACGTATATTTTAGTCACCGCTATAACATATAACATATTAATGAACAGAAGGTGGGAGAAGCAGAAGGAAGCCCTCTCTTGGCTTAATGTGTTTGAGTCTGTGCATTTAGTTTTCCTGGCTATATTGTGGCAGCGGCCTGGAGAGGAATTTGGCTACTCCTCAAGGGCGCTCCTTCCCCCAGTTAGAAAAATGGTCCAATTGTTTATAAACAAAAGCGCTCTCCCTTACCTTTTTGTAATTCCCCTCCACGTCCAGAGGGCATTCTTGGCTGATGACATCATCTATCCCATCACTGTACAGATTCATCCTTAACTCCTCAGGATCTCACTTAAGAACAGCCTCCCACGAATCCCGACAGGGACAGGCTCGAGTGCCACTTGCCAGGCCCCTGGCGACTGCTCATGCTGGCACGAAGTGTGGCAGCGAGCGTCTCTGCAGGCTGTCCTGCCCTTGCCCCTTGGTCCCACAGACACGCCCCACTGACCCGGGCTGGGTTCTGCCTCTGCACCGGGGCAGCTGCCTTGCTGGGGCTCCCTGCTCCTGACAAGGCTTCCCACCATCTGCGGCCACCTTCCCCAAGTGCCCCTGCCGAGCCCCCTTCCAGCACCTTTCCAGTTTCCAGCAAGGGAAGAGGGTCACTCCATGCCGCAGCCCCAGCCCAGTGTAAACTGGAACTCTGGAAGGCAAGCTAGCACTCCTGCTCTGAGTGGGGTGGGTTGTGGGATAAAAATAGATGCACAAAATCCCAGCTGCTCAGACTTCCCTGGTTGAGTGGCAAGACGGGTGTCCCACAGCAGAACAGCAGCCAAGTCGTCCAACGGCTGACCAGTGAGACAGGGTCTGCTTCTCTTTTTGTTTGTCCTTTCCCCATAACTGACCTATCGTCACATCAGATGCAAAAGTTTCTTTTTCTGGTAGGAGCCCCAGCACAAAACCCAAATTGATTCCAACACAGAGAAGGACCCCTCTGTCCCAGGAGCAGCGCTTTGTTCTACTAACACAGGCAAGAGAAAAAGACCCCTGGACTTTTCTTTAAACTTCAGCCAGTGGCGGCCCTTCCCACAAAAGCAAAAGCCTCCTTTCTGGTCTCTCCCTACCCTTTTCCCAGGGCTTCTGTTTTGTTCATGGGCTTCACATACAGCAAGGAGGGAGAAAGGCCCACAGCTGGAGGATGTTTTGACGCACCAAGCAGACAAACAGAAGCGCGCCCACGCCGAGCATGCACACACACATACACACACACACACATGCACACACGCTCATCTCCATCAATCACTACTGCCACAGGCTAAAAATAATACCTCTTCCCTGCTTTAGAAAAAAGTCTGCAGGAGAAACAGGGCAGGGAAAGAATTCAGAAGCCTCCACTTAGCAACACCCTGACATGCTCACACAGAAAGCAGCAGAGGTACTAGGCAATCACTTTTCCAAACTGGATTCTCTTGCTTTTGCAGTGCTGGGGATGGAATCCCAGGCTTGGTACATGCTAGGCAAGAGCTCTGCCACTGACCCCACGACAGCCCCACTGACATGGCTCCTGAGCAGCTGCAACTCGCTAAGGACAGAGTTTTAAGAGCACAGGAGTAAAGGTGCCGCAGGGCCACCTTTTCTGTCAGAGCTGCTAATGACGTGCCTACCTTCCACGATCTGTGTATCTTTCCATAAGTTTTCTTAATTTAAGTTTGTGTAAGTCTCATGGCATGAACACGACCCGCTGTGGTTTACAACAGCCCTGCTTTACCCAGCAGACTCTCTTCTCTGCAGCTCTGATCCAAAGCTAACCTCCCTTCCTATCTCCCAGTTCCCTTCAGACAGGACCACAGTCAAGCCCAGCTCACTGGAGTCCCTCACCTCTGTCATTTGAGACCACATCAAAGTGCCCCTCATCTAAGTGTTGGATGTGACACCTCAACTGGGCAGAAAGATTGGGTGTTCCAACCAGGCACCAAGGTTATGTCTCTGTACAGCAAAAGGATGGAGTAAAACTTGGTAAAATTCAGTCTATCAAGAAGGGCAGCGTGGGGTGAGCGCCTTCCCTACTGGCCGCAGGTGGTATGAAGGAGTGTTCTCCACAAGTGCCCATGGAAGCCGGGTGCCCCTCATTTCTGCCATTTGCTCATGCTGTGCCTTGCACTGAGTGTCCTGTCCATCCTGGCACCTAGAGCATTTGAAGTACTGGCTGAGGGGCAGGTGCTCACACTGCTGGGGTGGCAGTACAGCTCCGGAGGCAAAGCTCGGCCTGAGCTCTCACTGGGCTCAGACAGCAGCTGGGATCCTTGGGCCAAGAGCAGCAGCACCCACAGGAAACTCTACTCAGTCTACCGGCACAGGCCCCATGGGTGAGGCAGGGTTCCTGGGCATTTGAGCAAGGCCTGTATCATCAGAAGCTCTGTCTGCTGTAATGGGGTGCAAAAGAAGGACATCTGTGTACTGGAGGACAATCTGACCTGATGAGAGTACAGGGCTTCTGCAGAAGGTGGCTCTGGGTCTGGAAGCAGCAGGAGCCTGAGTAGGTGGCAGAAGGTGGGAGGCTTCCTGGCAGAGGCATTGGAACCCCAGCAACCAAGGTGCCAGAGCCAGGGCTACAGGACCCAGACCCTGGAGAGGCCTGAGGTCCAGCAGAGGGGTCTGGAGTTAACCCTAGGAACACTGTGTGTGCTTCTCCCCACACAGAACGGCTGGAGGAGGGAAGTGTGCCTGGGAGCTTTTAAGCCAAAAGGGACCCTTTGACCCAGACTTGTGCTTGCAAGTCAACAATACTTCCAAGCTGTCTCTCAGAGGTCACTTACAGGAATCTGTCCTTTCAAAGGCTGCCAGTCTTTGAGGTTGTGGGCAAGGCTCTTCTCTGAAGAGACCAGAAAATGGAAGACAACTACTCTGTCTTTTAAAGGGCTTCAGCCAAAATGCCAGCATGGGCCTAGTGCCTGATACCAAGTGGCTCTGTGAGGGAGAATCCACAAAGGCAAAGCAATGTGAGTCTTCACGGGCAGCAGAACCACAAACCTGCACCAGCCCCCAGTCTCTTTTCTCCTACTCACAGGGGTCAGGGCACAGCGTGTCCAAACACGCTCACACGGGGTTGTCCAGCTCTTGAGAGTGGCAAAACCCCCTTTCTAGTGGCAAAACCCCCCCTTTCTTCCAAGTCATCTCCTTGGAAGAGAAATGTACAATGACTGTATTTCCACATACTGGCAAGAAGCAATTGGGAAATGGTGGCACAGGGCTTGAGGGTGCCCTAGACACCCCTGGATGTGCCTGTTATTCATAACTGCCTTGCTGGTACACAAAGGTACTCTGCCAGGGGACCTGCCAATCCTCCCAGGATGATACAGGTGGAAAAACTCACAAGAAAAGGGGGTAACTGCCCCCATGCCACCCAGGGGAAAAGTGCAGCTGATGGTGGGGGAGGCATGAGGTGAGAAACCTCAGAGCTACCCATGTCTGCAAAGCCTCCTTCCTGGGCAGTGTCATTGCCCAGGCAGGCACACCCATCCTTGACATAATCCCTGAGAAGCAGAGAGGACAAAGAGGAAGGTCCCTGACCTCAGGGAGCTTACACAGAGCCAGGGAGGCAGAATCAGGCAGTCAAATAAAATATGCTCCAGGCTAGGTGTTGATAAATGGATGTGTGAGAGCAAGGCCAAGACAGAACTGCGGAGCTGGAGGTTCACAGAGGAAGTCCAGAGACGGCCTCCCCAAGAAGTGGCACTGGAGTCAGGCCTGGAGACAGGGGTGGGACTGCCAGGCTGAACACAGGACGGCCAGCTGAATGACGGACGAGCTTCAGGACTAGTATATGCCAACACTGCAGGTGATCTGCTGCATTGGTGGCCCTGTACCGGCACACTGGGCAGAAGGCCCAGGGAAGGCAGGGCTGACTCCGAAGGCAAGCAAGCTGAGCAGGTGCTCAGAGACAGTCCCTGCAGCCCTGTGGAGGTCGGGGCTTGTACTCCAAGTAGGACAACAAACTTTTGAAAAATTATGCTACGTGCAACATGATCCGGCTTAGGTTTTAAAGGCTTATTCTGGTATTGTGTTGAAAATACATTCAGGGGAGGGGGACAAGGCAGGGCAGTGGGCGCAAGAGTGTGATGGCAGTAATAAGGTTACACCTCTATACATATGTGATGAAATGTGCATGTAATTTGGGGAGAATGCTCGCTGAAGCCCCATTCAGGGACTCTCCATCAAAAATTTCTCCAGAAATCTTAGTATGTATCACTTATGGAAGGAAAGGAATGAGTTCTCCAAATAAATTTTATTAACTCATGAGAAAGGCTGAACTAAGGAATTTGCCTTAAGCCCTGCATTATCATGCTTCAAAGATAAAGAAACCCTCATCCCAGAAGGGGAAGTTTCTGAAACATTTCAAGCTGTCCCTATCACCAGAGAGTGAGACCAGATGGAGCTGAGGACTAGGGAAACCACCTTTGCTGATCCAGTTGCTTGGGTCAGCGGGGCTCTAGACCTGGGGCTTCTGGCTGGATGGGGACTTGGCTTCAAGGTTAATGCTTTTGCTTTCGCAGAGCAGGGTATCATGGAGGGCTTTTCAAAAGCACACACACACCCAGCCATCTGCTGCAACCCCATGGTGATACAGTCTATTCACTACCGTCACCCCCCAAAACCACTCAACTCTCCTACAGCAATAAACACTTGAAACTACCAAACACACCATGTCTTTGCCACACACTGCAGGTCATATGTAACAAAACCAATGTGTCTTCCTTTGGAAGAGCAGTAGGCTAACATAACCCTCTCCAGATGACATTGATGACACTTGACCCATGTTCCACCCTACAAAAACAATAATTTCACTTTCAGCTCATTGAAAAGATACTCAGGGAATAATCTTATATTAGCTTGGTCTGCAAAACATAAATTGTATCCCTTCTCTGAAAACTCAGAAGAAAAGAGATTTTAGTTGTTACAGCAATTTAATAATGAGCAACAGCAGCCACACATCTGCTGCCGGATGAGGTTCTATGTGGGAACCAGGCCTCTGATCCTCCAGAGCTAGACTATATATGTGTGGAGTGGGGGCTATTTTCTCAACATCTCTGCCCCGTTGGCATGGAAAAGAATTTCTGTGAACCACAAATCTTGAGTCCCTAAGTGTCCTATAAAACGAAGATACTATAAAACAAGCTAATAATTATAAAATTTCAATTATTAGGCAGAGAAAGAGTAAGTGAGTATGTTTTATAGGCATGCTTTACTTAGGAACCTGGCCTAAGGCAATCTGGCCAGTGTTCTGTTCTGCCAGCATAGGTTTACCACTGCGAAATCTGACCTCATGAGAAACACCTGCCTGTCTCAGGTGACCCACCTCACACAGAGAAGAGGCCTTGCTGGGTAAGGCACTGGTCTCTAGAGCTTCTGAACTTGATCAACAGAGTGATGGCCAGCAGTGACTCCCCAGGACCTGGCCTGATTTCCTGTGGCTGGAAAGGTCAGTTTCTCTGAGACATCTTTTCTGTTTACAGCAAGCACACTTTTGATGCTGCCCCCACAGTCCACCTTGCAGAAGGGAGAACCCTGAACTGCCCCTGGAAACTGTCTTGGTGTTTAATTCATAACTCCAGACAGCAGATCAGCAGGAAAGAGTAATAGGCATTGTTTAAGGTTTTTCTACGTGTAGTTTTAATGCACAGCACACCCTGATTCCCACTAACCATTTAGTCCAGTGCACTGGTAAAAATAAGTTCGTAAACACACAAGCATCCAAAACGCCAAGCGCTTGCTGGCTAATTTTTTTTTTTTTAATTTCTAAGATCAACTATTGACTTTCTATTTGCGTAATTTTCTTAAGAGAAAATTCTAAAAATTTGAGGAGGTGAAATTCACGTCCTACCTAATAAGCAAAATCACATTCTTCAATGTTACGGATGTGAAATTCGAACCCGATCTCCTTCTAAATCCCCTTAAATGCAATCGCAGCTCAAAGCTGGGGGCCCCTCTTATTTGCACAGGCAGAACGTGCGCAGCATCAACACCTCAGAGGACGGATTCACTGAGCTTCGCAGGCCACGGCAGCAGAGCTATCTGCCCATCCCTCCCCGGAAACCCCCACTGCGATTCAGATGCTGCCCGCGATGGAGGCCCGGCCAGCGGAGGATGGCCAGCCCCGAATCAGAGCAGAGGCACCTGCTGCGCAGGAGGCTGAAGGAGGCCTCTGCAGAGGCCCAGTCCTCGGCAGGGCTCGCGCTCACCTGGTACGCGCAGCTCTCCTGATGGACCATCTCGGCGCATCCTAGGGCGCAGCCCCACAGCAGCGCGGCGCGGCGAGGCTGCGGGCAGGCGCGGGGCAGCGCCCGGGAAGATGGATGCTGCCGCTGAGCAACCTGCGCAGCCGCCCAGTGCGGGCGGGGCTGGAGGGAGGGCGGGCACAGCCCCACGCCACCAGCCAATGGCACCGCGGCACGGAGGGCCGCCGGGCCGCGCGACCCGCGGGTGCCCGCGAAGGCGGTGACCGAGTGGGCAGGCCCGGCCGCGCCGAAGGCCTGGCCGCGGGAGGGGCGGCGGCGGATGGTACGCGGGGAGCCGGGGCCTGCGCGCCCTTCCGCGGCCGCCCCTCCAAGCCAGGAGAGCTGGAACTTTCAACAGGCTAAAGGACCCGAGAGCGGCGCTTTCAGTGTTGGGTTTTGAATTATTCGTCAACTTTGCAACTAAAGGGAGGGCCTTCGCTCTTCAAAACACTGTATTTTGTGACGTTTTGGAGTCTCCATTTATTTTCGACTTTCTGCTTTTAAGGCAAATAGAAATAAGATGGAATAATCCCCCCCCCCTTTTAGGGAAAGAGCTTATTAAAATATTAGTATAATTTATTCATTTCATGCAGATGTTTGCTGCTAAAAGGCTTGGTACATATGTATCTCCCGATCTGTGACTCTAACCTGGACACTCCAGATGCAGCAGTAGGGCCCTAGAAGCCCACCACCCCACCAGTAGGTCAGCTCTGGACTTGCAGACCATAATAAAGGAACATCAGTGGGCCACCAGTGTCTGGGAAAACCCCTGGGGGGCCAATTTCTGAGTGACTTCAAGGGCCCTGCTAGGCCTTTAGGAAATGCAAATTCTTCACCACAACTTAATGACAGAAAATTAAGGGAGAAAAATTTCCTCATCCACATTCCTTAGTCGCCACAGGTGACTCTTAATTTCCCTGAGCACATAAGTGACACTCAATAAAAAGGTGACTGAATTTTAAGTCACCAAATTAAACAAATCAGAAGGACTATTATTTTAAGCCACTTTAATATCCTTCCATCTCCTCAAAAGCTCTTCCTCGCAACTAGTAACTAGTCTCCATTGTGCTACTGATAGGGAAAACAGCCCCAGTTTGCCTGAGTCTCAAAGCCAATGTTTTAAGTTCCCACAGGAGCACTCTTCTGAGGAATCCTGAGTTTGTTAGGGAGGTTTACAAGTGGTTTTTAAACTTTCTAACAACAGTTGTTTCTTGGAAAGAGGAACAACTCTATTTTTATAAGTACTTTTAATTTTTGTTATTTGAGGCTCAAACAGGAGAAAAGCTCAACCCATTAATTCCACTCCACTATTGTGCATGCTGCCTACTCCTGTGGGCTTTGCCGGAGGTGGTGGGAGAGGTGGCTGCAACACCAGGGCCCAGGGGAAGGACAGGCCTGCGGAAGCCCCCAGCCTCTTCCCTGGGTGCCAAATAGAGGCAGGCCACATACAAGGCACCGAACCACAGTGACAGTTGGTGCATGAAGCAGAAGCCAGGGCAGGCGCTGAGCCTTGGGCAGTGAGGGGTGCAGAAAAGAGGACAGAAGCATCCCAGAGGAAGGAGACAACACATCCCACCCCAAGCGCCATCCTGCCACTGGGCCATCCACACGGCTGAGACAGACTCCCCTGTGCAGATCTTGGCCACTCAAGCAACATCAGCAAAGGTGCTGGGTCCTGGGTACAGCAAGGGAGGTGGCCCAAGGGAAGGAGCCTGGAGCATAACAGGTGGGCTGGGTCAGCAGGCTCCTCCTGGGGACAGCGCTGCCTTCAAAGGTGCCAGTGTTTCACATGCCAACTTCTCCAAATCCGGGAACCTCTGGGCTCAGCAGCATGCTCCCAAGTGACGGCCGCTTGCTGGTCTCTGCTCTCTTCTGGAAACACCAAGGGGCTAGATATATTACATAAGCTCCTGCAGACATTTATCATGTGTGGTTAAAAAAGTCCACACACGATCTTGATCTTCACAGTTGTTGCTCCATAAATAGGGTCGGTGACTCAGAGTGGCTCTGGGGAGGGTGGATTTCTGACAACTGCATCCAAATCCTGTCAAAAAACCTCCTGAGAGATACAAACAAGTTGGAAAAAGGAATAGACGAAGCAGGCTTCTCTTTACAGTCATTCGTTGGAAAGAACTTTCTGTTATAATTTGGATTATGATTTGGCAGTGGAAAAAAAAAACTTTAAACAAACCCCAGCCGTCACAAGAACATATGAGCTAGAACAATTTGCCAAACTATATTAATATTTATTGTTTTTGACTAAAACACATTGACAAACTTTTAATTTCAAACACAGTCTGCGTAGCCCTGAGATCCTTTCCTGGAGGCCCTTACACTTCCCTTCCCATTCAAGTGCTCTTTTCCTATTTAGATGGAACCTCGAGAGGTCACTGAACCCACACTGTTCCTCTCCAGATGTGCAAACCGAGGCCTGAGAGAGCTGGGACATGCCCACCACCAACAGAACAGCATCCAAGTATGGAAAGCAAGCAGCAGACACGATTTTCTGGATGGGTGCCCAGCGAGTGTGCTCCACATCCATCAGCTCTGCCATGGCCTGCCACAGCAGGGCACAGCAAGTAGGGCCAGTGGGGCCAGAGCAAGTGGAGTCTCATGAGGGGTGGGACCTCATGAGGGGCCCCTGCCTATCCTGCCACCAGGGGAGGACACAGCAAGCAGGGAAGCAGCCCTCCCAGTCTGCACAAAGACAAATGCTGAATGGGGGCTCTCCGGACTGGAGAAAGAACCCGTTTCCACGGAGCCAAGCAGGCTGGTTTTCAAATCAACCTACCACACAGTCAGAGCGAGGCCACAGCGAGGTTTTACTGGGATCCAGATTAGAGTCATGTTTTACAGGAAGAAAGATGAGAGTATTTCAGCTGAAATGTTGTTCCTGTTTCTACCATAATACAAACGACTGTGTCTTTAAACCTCCATTTTTTTTTCAATTAGGTAATTAGTAGCAACATAATGAAGGGGTGTTTTTTTAACATTAAATATAGGGTAAAAAAATCATATCAGCGGCCCTTCCAAGCTTAGTTTCAGAAGTGAATGACTGGGGTCAGGAGCTGACCTGGAAGGGGTATGGGAAACTTCCTGGCCCAGGCCATGTGAGCTGATTAGGTGTTTGGCTTACCCAGGTGTATAAACCTGTCAAAACTCACTGCATACAATATTTTAAATTTGTGGATTTCATTATATATGACATTTACCTTTAAGGGATAGAAAAAGCCAGTTACCAAAATTTGAACTCCATCCACCTAACGTTGTGCAGGCTGAAGTCTTCAGGGGACATTTGTATGTTTAAGCTCACCCTAAGTTCAGCAAATAAATTGGTGGGGAGCAGAGTGACAGGCCGAGGAGAGCCATGGCAGAGCAGGCCCTAAGGCCTCACCTGGAGTCCAGGTGGCACGTGATTAGCACTTGTGAAGAAATTTGAACTTCCGCACGTTCACAAAGAGATGCTGGGAAACACGATGTTCCTGACCCAGAGCACAAGTCAGCATCACCATCCAAATACCCATAAGCTGCTTGTCAGAAGCACAGAGAGCAAGGGATGGTTTACGTGACTCTACACTGTGCTACTTCACGGAGAAGCACGAGAAAAGAAGTAGTGAGGTATCAGGGAACACGATGTCCTCCGACTGACCCCCAAAGAAGAGCGAGCTGCTGCTGCAGCCAGGCACACCCAGTGTGGTCTGACAGGGGCTCTGGCAGGGATTTCTGCACAGCACTTCCCTGTGTCCCCTGGATTCTTGAGACCCCCTGGTGGGAACAAGGTCTAGATGCTCCTGCAAGCTGCTCCTGTCTCCCAGGATGGGTGAGGCTCAGTGGCTGCTGAAGGAGCCTCATGGCTCCCAGGGTCCTGCGCTTGCTCAGGAGAGCCCAGGAAGAGCACTGGGGCCAACACGACGCGGCGTTCTGCTGCCGCTGGCTTTTCTGGTGCCTCTCAATGGATCCAGAGCACAGATCGGTTTCCTCACTGCTGACCCCTACACCTGACCTGGTGCCTGCAGACTGCAGGTCCCCAACAACAGAATGAATGAGGCCACCACTGGGGGCCACCTGGCTTCTCTGGCCATGGTTTCCTCTCCTGCTGACCACAGGGTTGCTGCCGGCTCTGGGATGACAGCAGGATGAAGTGGAGGTGACCTCTGAGGCAGCAAAGGTTCCCAGCAAGGGACAGGAGGGTTTCTCTCTGTCCTAATTATAGGCAACGGCCACCACCCAGAGAGTGCAGAGGCCTGCAGGAGCGAGGAGACCATGGGGATGGGAAGGAAAAGACAGGGACACACTCTAAGACACGAAGGGAAGAGCTGTGGCCCCGCTGGTCAGCATCAGGGTGGACAGGACAACATGGCGAAGCCTCAAGACCATTGATGGATGGAACTAGTGCCCTGGAAAGAAACAAGGATGTTAGGAGAGTGAGTTGGGCGGACGGAACTGAGGGTCTTCTGCACAAGGGGGACAGCCAAACCTGTAGAAGTGGACTGGTGGAGGGAGGCACTGGAGAGACTCAAGGCCATCGCTTGGGGCATGACCCCCTCTTGCCTCCCCTGGCAAAGGCCCTCACTGCAGTCCCCACCTGGAACTAAGGTTGCTAAGCTGCAGGCATTGAGATGAGAAGAGAACCCCAGGTCCCAGGGGCCCACAGGATGACTACCAGGGTCTGCAAGGGGAGGAATTGGGTAGATGGAGGCACAAGAAACTAGTCCAACACTGTTGGCTTTAAAGACAGAGGGAAAGGCTGCAGCCCAGGAAGTGGGTTGCCCATAGAGGGTGGAAAAGGCCAGGAAAGGGGTCTCTGTACAGCCCCCAAAGGAATACAGCGCAGGGAGACACATTTCCAACTCCTGGCTTTCAGGGCTGCGATGCCATAAACTCATGTTGAGTTCGATGTGGGATGATCTGTTGCTCCACAAATAGAAACTTAACACGTGGGTGAAGGCAAGAGGGCAAGAGGTGCAGAGGAAGCTGGAACTGGCACCACGGAGGCCTGGAGGGAGGGGCCTGGAGGGAGGGGCCTGCAGAATGCATGCTGCCAGGCTGTGGCCAGCATAGGAGGAAAATTATGGAGCCAGAAGCTGACTGTGTAGGGGTGCAAAGACCCCAGCTCCAACTTCAGAAGTGCATGTTGGGGAGGAAGCTCGGGGTGTGTGCTCAGAAGGTGAGCACTTCTATTAAAGTTCACTGAGCCAGAAGCCCAGGGTGCAGTCTGAGCATGGCAGAAGCAGAGAGGCTGATGCTGGGCTGGTGTCCCTGGGGAGACCCAAAGGTGAGGTGGGCAGCAGGAACAGAGGAAGAAGGTGAGGATGGAGGGCAGAAAATGACCACAAGGGCCAGTGCTAGAAGAGGTGGATCAGGAATGCCAGGAGTGTTCATGCTGCCTTGGAGCTGAAGATGCAGTGAGCCACAGAGAAATGTTGAGTAGGAAGAAAGTCTTGGTGCAGATAGGGGCACAGGGCATGCACCATTGACAGCCTGGGTCCTTGTAGGAGCTGCTGGAAGTCAGGGCCCCCTGGCAGGGAGATAGATAAGGCGACCAGATAGGCCAGGCTGGTGTGGGGGAAGCTTTTCCATGAGATTCCTAAAATGTGCCAGGTGTGGGTCATGAGGAGGCAATGGCTCACCCAACATAGCAGGAGAGCGTGAGATATGCTAGATTTAGAAAATGAGCAAGCGGAAAACAAGGCCAGAATCGTGGGCAGCTCCACTTGGGTAAGTTAGTACCCTGGTGTCAGGCAGATGTCCACGTGCGTGCTGAGCAGAGGAAAGAATGCAAACATGAAGAAGCACGTGCGTGGGCCACCCTTGGGTGCCTCTGTGCTGGCCCCGGTCTTCTGCCAAATGCAAACCCAATCCCAGCTCTGCCAGTCGAAGTGGTGGGCTTGCTGTCTGACAGAGCTGGCTGGGTGCCCCACAGTGAAGATCCAGGCAGAGGGTGCATCTGGACTAGGTAGTCCTCCATCCAGCCTCCCCCACTGCATCCTAAGTGCTTCAGCCCATCCCATCTCACCTCACTCTGGCACCTTGCTGTGTGTTTTCAGCAGATTTGATGAATCGTGCCATCTGACTTCAGGGATAGAGTGTGGGGCAGAGGGTGGCAGGTGCTACTGCCTCATAGACCTGGAGAGGAAGCCCTAGAGGAGGATGGTACTAAACCCAGGATGGGAAGCCAGGGAAAGGTAAGAACCAGACAGGTTAGACTTCCTATCCTTGTATTTATAAACCAGAAACCTACTTTTGAATCTTATATAAAATATGTAAAATAATTTACTCAGAAGTTTGACTACTCTGGCCTTCATTACACTTATGTTTTATTACCTCAGGTTACATTAAAAAGTTTCCTGAGAAAATTACTAGTATGATTGTCACTTATTTTCTTTTTTGAAGTATTATAATCTGCTTTTAAACTGTAACCTATACACAAAAATATTCAAGTCTCTCAACACTCAAGATGAGGGGAGAGTGCCTGTACTCCCAACTGTGCCTGTCCCAGCAAGACGCCCTCCCCTGAGCACTGCCCTTCACCTCACTGCTGACCCCCGGGCTGGACAAGCGGCTGTGCCAGTGGAGTGCCATCCAGAGTGCCACCTACTCTCATAGGCAGCTCAGATCCCCTCTCCCAACTGCACATGCACAGGAGGCCTGCAGCTTTCAGGAAGGCAAGAACAGGGCTGCACCCCAGTCCAGGAAATGATAGCTTCAATATCGTAAGGCTTGAAAAGCCACCTGGCAGGTGAATTAAATATGCAACTGACCAAAAAGGAGGTGGAGAGAAATACTTCACATGGACCAATACAGGACAAAGTCACTCCATGATGGGAAATGTCACATTCTTCTCACACAGCCTCACAGGCCAGTTTTTCTCCCGACGACGATCTCTGAATTACATTTGTATTGAGAACTCTATTTCCAATTTTATTTTCTGGGGGTTGAGGATGAGGTGTTTAGCAGCTCAGTAAAATGGGTGCAAATTAGTCTAAAAACTCCTGCAACGCTGGGTTGCTACAGACGGTTTGCAACCTGCTGCATCAGGAAGAGCTCCAGCCATGGCATTGCGGTACCTGCAGAGCAGAGAGGCTGCCCAGGTACATGCTCATCACACCTGGTCCTCCGCCTCCCCCATGCTGCTTCCTTCCCAGTGTGCACTAACATTCATGTGATGCAGGAAATTAGCAATTGAGGCACAGTCAATCTGGGTGACGTCTACCTGGTCTCATCCCCAGTTTAGGTCACATTTAAGGACCATTCCTTCTAGTCTCCACTTCCCAGCCTGGAAAAGTCAGAGAAAGCAGTGATGAAAAAGTATAAATCTGCCAGAACTAACTCAAGATTTTCCCAACAGAGTTAAGGTTTTCCAAGAAGGGCCAAGCCCAAAGTATGTGGGGGGGGGGGAGTGAGAAGGGGCAGGTCTCCCTGCAGGTCACCTGGAATACCTGGTCCACTGGAATGAGTGCATCCAGCTAACCTGATTCTCCAGTCCTGGAGGGAGGGTGGCAGGTCAGAGCCAGGTGTCCCTTGTGGGGAAGGGGACAGACCCTGCTGTCGAGGAAG